CAGGTCCGGGGACAGGTCGCTGGACATAGCATGCCTGTGCTCTCCACTCACCCTGCCCCTTGCCCAGCCTGGCCTGCTACAGGGCTGCCCACAGTTGGCCTTAGGGCCTGGCCTCATGCCCCTCATTCTATACCCTGGGGTCCCAGAGTCAATTTGCTAGGACCTCCGGGCGAAGGCCTGGACTGCCTGCCAGCCCCTCACTCCAGGAGGGGCCACATCGAAATCCTGTCCCTGCTCCACTGAGCGCCTCCCTCCTGAGTGCACAGCCTTCCCCGTCTTGGTCTCCCCAGTGGTCTATATGGAGAGGACAAAGGGAGGTCAGCTCCACTCTCGGGACAGAAAAAAGACTGTAGGAGCCAGGTTCCTTCCCAGAGGTGGAGCAGGGAGACAGGAGTTCGCAGAAAGCACTGTTCCGAGAGCCAGGGTCCCCACGCAAGACAAGCGAGGAGGAGGAAGGAACAGGGGACTCGGGCAAGGAGGGATGGGGGGTGACCCACCTTTGCAACCTGGCAGCCAATGGAGCCAACGGCAGCCGAGCAGCACGTGTACCGAGTCTCCCAGCCACCAGCCACTGAAAGTAGAGCCAGGAACAGACACGCTCAGCACAGACAAGCTCAGCGTCGCCTAGTGAAGCCGCCACCCAGCCCTTGGCTCTGAGGCCCAGAAGGGGGTTCTGCTGAGAGAGAGGGGCCCCACCTCTGCGCTTTTCCTCCTGGAAAGACCTATGTGACACCTGCTCAACGTACACACACCCCCGTCACCCCACAGCCTCTGTCCTCCCAACCACATACATACCCCCATCCTACCCTCTCCAGATCACACACACACACACACACCCCTCACCCAACAGCCCCTGCCCTCCCCTGATCATACACATGCACCCGTCACCCCACAGCCTCTGTCCTCCCAACCACACGCACCTGTCACCCCACACAGCCCCTGCCCTCCCCTGATCACACCCGTCACCCCACAGCCCCTTCCCTCCCCCGATCACACACACACCCCTAGTTTCCCTCCAGCTCCTGCCCTCCCAACTACACCCCCCCAGTCACTCCACAGCCCCTGCCCTCCCCAACCACACGCACCCCCAGTCACCCAGCCCCACTTCCCTGCCAGTCACCCTCTAGCAGGGTTCCTGCCCTTTCCTAAACCAACTCTGACCACACAGCCCTTGCAGCAAATACTGAATCCACCCCAGGGCTCCCCAAACAAAGGGAACTTCTTTCTAGACCTCTGTCAAGGAGGCCACATGGCAGTAGGGTGGGCTCATCTCCCCCATCCCAAGCAGGGTCTTCATCAGATGTGACAGGGGGCAGTGGGGCAGCCTTGTCTACCAGCAGTGATGTGAGACTTGAGCCTCCCACCATGGGAGACAAAGCTCTGTCCTCCAGTGACACCTACTGGTAGACTTTATCAGGGCAGCCCCAGGAGACTGATGGCAGAAGACACTCCATACAGGCAGAGAGGACCATGGTTCTGGGCTGAGGAAGAGCCTTGGGAGGTGGAGGCTTCAGGCCCATCCTGGGATGGGGGCTGACATGGGAGGACACCTTCCAACCATCACTGTGTGCTCCCCTAGCAGCTAGAAGCCCCTCCAGAGTGGCTGACTGGCATGGACCAGGCCCGCAGACCCAAAGACTGTGGGCACTGTGGTTATGGTGCGGGACACCAGTCAGCAGGCTGTGGCAGTAATGGTGGGACCACTGCTTGGAGGAGAGTGGCTGTGTCAGACAATAACCCCAACAGCCAGGCGGAAAGGCTCACTGGCAGCGCTCCCAGAAGCCCCCCTTTCACTCACCACTCAGGAGGAAGGAATAATGAAGGGAGAAGTGGGCTGAGGACTGGGCCTCAGGGGCTCACCTCGGTTCCGCCTGAGCCGCCCCCAGTGGTAGCTGCACTCCTCGGAGCGGACGCAGCGGCCCGAGGGGGACACAAGGTACTCGGCACCGCAGCGGCAGCAGATCCTGCAGGAGGCTGCAGGATGGACAGAGAGACAAGGGAGTGAGGATGAACTGAAGGGGGTGTAGGAAGTGTAGGAATGGAGTCCAACATAGGGAGGGGCCGTGGTAACAGAGCCCTAGATTGGGGGGGCCCCCTCAGGTCAAACATGAAGGTCTGCCCATGGTGGGACTCGGGGTGCAGGCCATGGGGCTGTTAGGGAGGAACCTCACCGTCCTTGGGCTTCTTCTCCTCTCCGGTGAAGAGGACGGCACCGCCCGGCCGCTGCGGGTGGGGGAAGGGGTAGCCGTTCTCCTTGAGCTGCTCCTCCGTGAGCAGGTATTCCTTGAGGCGGCTGTACAGCGTGGCCCCTGCAGGTAAACCCCAATGTCACGGACGCCAGCTCGCAGGAGCCCCCTCGTGGGCTGCCCCTAATGGATATGGAAGGGGCCGCACTGGGCTGGGCCGCAGGGATGGTCGCCTGGATGGGCAGGGCCCCCTGGCCCGGCAGGACCTCTGCACAGGCTCACCTTTCAGGTCTTCCACGCGGGGGCTGCGCGCATGGCTGAGTGAGAAGCTGGTCTTGGCGGCCAACCTGCCCCCCAGCACCACCTCGTGGGACACCAGGCGCCGACCACTGGTCTCTGGAATAAGGGACAAAGGGCAGGGTAGTCGTGGCTGAGATGTCCCACTGCCTTCCAGCACTCAGGCCTCATCTCCTGGGTGCCATCCTCAACTTCCATAAGGTTCCCACAGCCCAGACAAGGAGAGGACTGCCCCGTGGCAGGAGGCTGTCACCCCTCACCCTGAGCTCTGTCTGAAGCAGACCCTCTGGGGACAGTTTGCACCGGGGTCTTGGGGTCAGGCGCACTCACCACCTGGGACCCCTCACAGGTCAGAGCTGCAGGTGCAGGAGGACCCTGGGGGCAGGGTATGCAGAGCCTGCAGCTCCTGAGTCTTTCTCACTGGGGGGCGGAGTAGGATGTTTGTGAAGCCTGCAGCCCCTCAAAGGCAGACATTGTGCTAATGGAGGGAAGGGGGGAACGACAGCAGGTGGCAGTGATGAGGGCCTGAGTGCTAGTGAGGCCTCACCCCCAGTCTAATGGGGGTAGCACAGCGGGGTGGCTGGCGGTTCCATCATCAGGGGAGGGTGGAGGAGGGGGAGCCTGCAGGCTTCCACCCGCGTGTGAGCAGAGGCACGGGAGCAGGGTTGGAATTATGCAGCGTAACCCCACAGCCCAAGCTGCTGCAGTAAAGCCCGAGATGCCCCTAAACCCCCTGCAGCCCCCAAAGTTCTAGCCTCCTATGATCTCCATTGCCAAAAGCCCCAGGTCCCCACAGTCCCAGACCCCACCAGCCCAGTCCCCCACAGCTCCCGGTCCTCTATAGACTGTGGTCTCCCACAGCCCCAGAAGCCCCCCCCCCAGTCTCCAGTCCCCCACAGCCCCACACCCCACAAACCCCCCAGTACCCCTGCACTCACTGCTGAGACCTGGGGAGGCGTTGGGCACCAGGCCCCGGAGCTTTTTGAGGGTGTTGACGGCAACGTTCAGGTAGATGTTCTTGCTGGGACTGCGGTCGTAGGCCACCTTTTCCTCAGTTAACGCCTGTGAGCGGGCAGTTAGTGGGCGCTCAGTCACCCTTGGGAGCAGGGGGACACAGGGCCCTGGAGCTGCTGAGCTCAGGGCGGGGGCCCTGCTGCTTTCCCAGGGACCCAGAAATGTCTGATGTGAAGTCCCTCCAAGCCCCAGTGACCAGGGTCAGAGCAACACTGCCATAGGGCTCTGAAGACCAGCTCCATCAGCTTTGAAAGTAGGTCACCAAAAGTTCTTCCTTGGCCCCAGGGGAGAGTCTAACAGAACCTCCAGTCCCCATCAGAGGACATTAGAGGGTGAAGGGTGAGAAGTGACCCTCAAGGGGTTCTGAGGACTGGGGTGAGGGTGGGGATTGAAGGGTCCATCCAGTCCCACCCAGGTCACCTGCACTTCCTCAATTTCAGGAGAAACTCTGAGGAACAGGGTGGGTGGCGAGGGGAATAAGGGTCCATCCACTCTCACGCACACCTCCTCAATTTCAGGAGGGGCTGAGGAGGGCTGCGTGTGTGGAGACCCACTCTGTCCCCACTCCTATCTCCTGAATTTCAGGGGAAGCTCTGAGGTTAGGGTGGGCTTGTGGGGGAATGTGGGGACCCACCCAGTTCCATTCATACCTCCTGACAGGAGGGACTCTGAGAACCGGGTGGGCACGTATGGGGCCGCCCTGTCCCCACCACCTCCTGAAATTCTAGAGGAGCTCTGAGGGTGGCGTGGACGTGTCCCACCTTGCACGCACCTTCTCGATGGCCTCTTGGCTAGAAGGACAGAACTTGAGGCACTCCTCAATGAACAAGTTGAGGTACCGCTGCCGGATGGCTGTGGGGACTTTGGCCCCAAACTCTTTGGGGATAATGGGTTTCTTTAAACTCTGCAGGGATGGACTGTGGGCGATGAGTGTGGTCAGGCCCGAGTGCCCCGGCTCCTCCGCCTTCTCCTTGGACGCCCCTATGGTGACTGACTGACCATGGGCTTTCCAGGTCCTGATCTCCCTACCCCCCACCTGATCACTTGCAGGAATGGACTACAGACATTCCCCTTGCGCATTTCCCACACTACAGGCACCTCACCACCACCTGTGGGATCTGGGGGGAACCTACAGTAGGCTGTGGGCCCGTCCTGAGTGCTCCTCACCCGCTCCCCATAATCTGTATCTCCACTGACCCAGCTGTACCCCCCGGGCTCCTGTGGAGATGACCTTGGACCCCCAACTGACCCGGCTGGACCCCCCCCGTCACCTGTGGAGATGACCATTAACCCCCACTGACCCAGCTGTACCCTGGTCACCTGTGGAGATGAATATAGGGGCCTGGCCCCCCACTCCCGGTCACCTGCAGCGATGGACTGTGGGCGACCCGCTTGGGGGTGGCAGTGGAGGTGGTCTTGGACGCCATCCCGGCCAGCGTGCGAGTCTTCAGGGGCTGCCGACCGGGTTCAGGGCCATGGCGGGGCTGGCTGCCACTGGCGGCCAGGGTCCGCTTGGCACCTGTGGGGGCTGACAAGGCGCCGGGGGCATAAGGGCGGGCAGCGAGCAGGCCCATGACGGAGCTGCGGAGCGCCAGGCAGCCGCGGCCACTCAGGGTCAGCAACATGTGCATCTCGTCACACAGTGCTGGGGCCTGAGGCTTGCAGCTCGGGCTGGGGAAGGACATCGGACTCTATCTGTGAGTGGGCAAGTCCATCGAGGGGGGACAACGGTCAGTGACCAGGGCCACCAACACGGCGCTCTGGAGGGCAGTGTGGGCCAGGCCGAGCCACTGCAGCATGATCAGGACCCCGACTCTGAAGCATTGGTGTCTGCGGGAGGCAAGGCCCTGGCTCCAGGGCAGAGGACCACAGGGTATGGACCCCAAGCCGCATTGTGACCAGAGGGGCCTCTGTGTTCTGTCCTGCCCTCTGATGAGGTCATAGAGCCCTAGTCTCCTGCCTTGCGGGGGGTGGGGGTGTGTGCGCTGTTTGTTTTTGGGGATCTAATCTGCTCTGACCGGGCAGAGGCTCTCCACATGGAGGGCCAGCCCACAGCAGAGAGCACCAGGCCACAGCCTTTCACACTGCCCATCACAGAGCGTCCAGGAAGGCAAGCAGGGCACCTAACCAGCCTGACCCGGCAGGTGACCATGCTACACTCGCTGGGACTCGACCCTTTGGGCCTAGAACTCCAGGAAATAAGCCTTCTCAGCTCACAGGCCTGTGGCGAAGGGGTATGTGAGGGGCCACCAGGGGTCAGAGAGGTGGCAAGTGAGAGGTCAGCAGGAGTGGTTAGGGTGTCATGAGAAGTCACCAGGAGTGGTGAAGGTCATGTCTGAGGGGTCACTGAGCCTGGGGATTGTGAGTTGTGAGGAGTCACAGGCCTGGGGGTAGTGGGGTCTGAGGGGTCACCAAGCCTGAGGGGATGACATGTGAGGGGTCACGAGGAGCAGCAGAGGTCCTATCTGAGTGGTCACAGGCCCTAGGCTGAGACAGACACAGCCTAGCACACTGGCCAGGGCAGTGACTGACACAACGGGACTGTGTGTGCACATGTGTGCCTCAGGGTCACCGTGATGCCCAGGCCAAGCCCCCTTATCCGGCCGTGGGTCACTCAGGTGCTGTGGGAGGGGGACACCGACACACGGCTCTTGCTGAAGGGGCCCCTTGCATCTCTGGCTCTGTGGGAGGAGAGCCTCCATCTCTTCTGGGGAGAGAAGCGTCAGGGTCTCTAAGAAAGGAAGGGGAGCCCTCACCTGTGGCTGTGGGGGAAGGAGAAGGGAGTCCTCATCCCTGGATGGGGGGGAGAGGAGCCTTTATTTCTGGCCATAGGGGAGAGAAGCCCCCCCCCATTTCTGGTTATGGGGGTTGGGAATTCCCTTCGTACCCTAACCTCATTCTGTACGACCCATCTCCGGCTACGGGGAACGGGAACTCTCCACCTACCCTCGCACCCACCTTTTGTACCCTGCCTCTGGCTATGGGGGAGACAGGCAGGCCTCACCACTTGTCTCTGGCCATGGGAAGGGGAGCCGCAGCTGCCATTTCCCTCCATTCCAAAGGGACCCCATCACTGCCTGGGTCCCACTATCCCACAAACGGCTGCAGCTCGTGCCCCTAGGGACCATCACTGCCGGCTCCCCTCCATCCCCAGGGTGGCTGGATGCGCAGAGCTGACTGGGACGCACCTGCAGCCAGGCGGGGATTGGGCACATGGGCGATCCGCTTCTTTTCTCCAGGCACAGAGATGTGCACGGTGGCTGGCTTCCCAGGGCCTGGCTTCTCAGCCGCCTGCAGCCAGCTGGCCGACTCACGCTGGGCCTGCTGGGCACGCCGGTAACACACCTCCTGGGCGGTGAGCGGCCGGGCTGGGGCTGTCGGTGGGGGTCTCCTGGAGGGCTCTGCCTGGAGGACCAGAAATGCTGGGGCTGCACAGGGCCCCGGAGGCAAGGCCAGCCTGACAGAAAGTAGCAGGCAGTCCTAGCCCTCAAACCCAGGCCAGCTCCACCTCAGGCCACTGTGTGACAGGATCCCCAACTCCAAATGACTCCTGGTCCACAGTCCAGGCTGCACCCTTGGCCCTGACACACCAAGGCAGGGCCTCACCGCCCACAACACCCCAGCTTCTGGAAGAGAAGCATGGCCAGTGCATGGCCCATGTGCCTGCAGTCTGCACCCCAGTCCCCCACCTCTCCTGGGAGCAGTGAGAAGGCACCTGGAGCTCCACTGTGTGGGCGGCACTGTCTCCCTTACCTCCTTTCCATGCTTGGTGAGATGGGAGATCCTCCGCTTCTGTCCCGGGAACAGTGTGGTCAGGCCCGAGTGCCCCGGCTCCTCCGCCTTCTCCTTGGGCGGCTGAAACAGCACCAGCACGTGGGCTCAGCACACACACCGCACACAGAACACCGCACTCAGCTACGGCTAGGACAGCACATGCTACACACACCGCAAACACCACACATACAGCACACGCCTAAGAGCACAGCACTCCACATACACACACGCAGCATGTAGAAGACAACACACAAACACAGAGTACACGGAGGACAAGGACCCATGAATGCCACCGATGTCACAGCACCAAACACACTCCACTCCACACAGCATGCCTGCACACATACCACACTGAACAGACAGGTGCACACCGCACACTCATCCCCCCATGCATATACACCACACATCTCTCACACACACACAGACACACACACACGGCATGCATGCATATACACCCCCCATCTCTCTCTCTCTCTCTCTCTCTCACACACACACACACACACACACACACAACCCTACACCCAGGGCATGCATGCATATACACCACATACCACACACATATCACAGACCCATCACGTCTCAGATGTGGGTCCACACACTTCCCGCCCTTCGTTGACCTCGCAATCACTGCAGACATGGACAGAGAGTGACCATCCTTGAGGCCCAAGGGGATGGCTGGGAAGGAGCAGGCAGGCTTGAGCTGGGGAGATCCTGGTCCCTGCAGTGGTGAGGGGTCCACATCTGGACTCCAGGCCCATCCTGTGGGCCGAGATGAGACCCTAGCCCAGTCACTAGTGCCCAGCTCACCTCACCAGGCCTGCCAAGGGTAACCCCATTCTTGGCACCTGTACCTCTACAGGACTCAGGCTGAGAAAAGCCCAGCATGCTGGGCAGAAGGGCTGGCTGCAATCCTGCTGAGGGCAGTGTGCCCTGGTCACTGAGGTGGACCCAGGCAGGACAAGGAGCAGGGTAGCCTGAGGAGGGTGGGATCTGTCTATCTGTCTGAACGTGGCAGGAGCCCTGCTGTATAAGCGAGGATTAGCATGCTCTCCGGCCTGGACACTGTGGTGCCAACAGGGGATCCTGATCTCCATGGGACAGAGATCAGCACTGACCAACCAGGCTGGGGGACGGGCCGCTCACCTGGCGGGCCAGTCGGCCCTTGTCCTCCGTCTTCACACTACTGGACTCATTGAAGATACGCAGACACTCTTCCATGGGGTCCGAGTCAAAGTCCACTTCCTTCTCCAGGGCAGCATAGTCCACGTCCTCCCCTGAGGACGACGACGAGGGGGAAGGAGGTATGGGGGTGGCCACCGGGGGCGGTGAGGCCTTAGACTGCCGAGGTGGACCCTGCTCGGCCCCTGGGAGGCTGAGGCTGGAGTCTGAGTCTGAGTCGGTGTCGGAGCTGAGGTTGGGCAGCACAGGGGGCCAAGTCCGAGGCGGGCCCACCTCCTCGTCTGCACTCTCATCCCCAAAGAGATCAGCGTGGCTCAGGGCTCGCTGCTTCAGCTTGGGGGCATCCTGGGAGCTGCCCTCGTCCAGTGAGTGGGCCTTGCGTGTGGCCAGCTTTCCCGAGGCGGAAGGCTTTCCTCGTTTCCCGCAGGCTGGCCGGGGCTCTGGGGGCCGCTCGGGCCTCTTCTTCCCTGAGCTGGCCAGCGTGGTGGCCGAGGATGGCTTCTTCTTGGTCCCGACTGGCCCCTCGGCCTGGCTCCGAGGGCTGGCGGCCTGGGAGGTCTTCCTCTCACCTGGCTTCCCTTGGGCCCTGCCCTTGTCCTTCTTCCGACTTCTGTCTTTGTGGCTGGCGGCCAGCAGCTCCCCTCGTTTCCTCTTGGATGTTGCATCCTTGAAGGCTCCCTGCACCGGTGTGGCAAGGACGGTGGCTGGAGGGGCGGTGGAGGCAGGAGTGGCCGGGCTGCCCCGGCTCGGGTCTTGGGGCTGCTGCCCAAGGTCTCCCACATCGTACTGCACAGCCATCTCCTTGGTCTCTCGCAAGGCCCCGTCCTCGGGCTCCAGGCCCTTGCTACAGGGCAGCTTGGCTGAGGCCTGGCTCTCAGGACCCGCCCGGGCCTGTGGGGGGCTGGCAGAGAGGGTCCCATTGCCTAGGGCCTCCTTGGCCTCATCCTCCGAGTCCGAGAAGCGGGCGTCATAGCTTCTGAAGGCATCACAGTGCTTCTTGAGCGCTGGTGTGTAGAGCTCCTGGCCAAGGGCACCCTGGGCCCGCTTGGGTGGTCTCTCATCCCTGGAACCAGCCCTGTTCAGCAGCCTGGCCGAGTAGTTGGACAGGGGGTCGTACTCTAGGTCAGTGGAAGGCTTGGAGTTGTCCACGACGTACTTGCCGCTGGTGCCGTGACGACCCTGCCTTCGGGGCTGGCCCACGGCCTTGGGGACATATTCCAGGGCACCACCTCGGGCGGGGCTCCTCTCCAGGGAGTACTTGCCACCTGGCTCAGTGGGCACAACCAGTGGTGTGGGTTGGTAGCTGGCATCTGGGCTCAGAGGGCCGTGGCTGCCAGGGTGGTAGTCGTAGGAGAGTGGGAAGGTGTCCTCCTGGCCCAGGTCAGCTGCAGGGGCAGAGGGGCCACGAGGGGCCAGAGCGGAGGCTTCCCCGATGCCCCCAGCTCGCGCTGTGCCCAGCAGCTCCTGGTAGCGCCGCTGCTCCAGCTCCACCTCTGTGCGCACGGCCTCGATGGCCTGGTTGACCAGCTCCAGCTCCAGCATGTCTGAGTGGTGCTCATCTCCGCCTCCCAGGACGCCATTCTCTCTCTGCACCGCTGGCTTGGGAAGCTCAGGGTTGTAGGGGTCATAGGTGAGACCTGAAACACAGAGACGGGACAGCGGTCACCAACCAGAGGGTGACCAGAGGTCAGTTTTCCAGAGATCCCTGGGAACCAGTTCTTACCTGGCCCCCACAGATCACCCAGGGGCCAATGAGTCCAGCTCTGAGCTGGACAGAGGGCCGTGTTCAGAGCCTGTGCAGTGGCGAGAGCTCTGTAAGGCCCAGCCTCAACTATGGTGGCTGTGTCACACTAAGGGGACTGTCCCCGGTCCCCACAGCAGGGCCTCCAGGTGGCCTCCAGGAGAGAGCAGCTCCAAGTCCCAGGTGGGAATTGCGGTTAGGACGTGGGGGTGCTGGATGCTGGGAGAAAGCCTACCACCCAGTGGGTGCGCCTGGTTACAGTTAGTTAGCCTCACGGCAGTGAATGCCAACATGGGTATTGCGATGCTGAAATCTTAACACAAATCACCAACAGTTCCCTCTGCAGCCGAACACTAAGCCCACTCCTGACTCCTCCCACTTCCATGCTGCCGAGACCCACTAAGTAAGGCTGACAGCAGGAAGGGGTGAGCCGGGACAGGGAGGAGGGAGCTGCCCAGCTCGGAGCACGCAGCTCCTGAGCACAGCTAGGCCGATTCCATGCCACTCTCCCATTCACCCTGTTCCTTTGTTTCTCACAGCATTCTCATATTTCTGGCCCCCAGCATCTGTGCTTCTGGGGTCCACAGAGGTCCCCCACAGGGGCCAAGGGTCTCCATCTACACACAGTTGAAGTCCCATTTAAGGAGAAAGGAAAAGGAACAACACAGGGGCTCTCGTGCCCACCAATGGGTCCCGCTGGAGCGAGGTGTCATGGCTCAGATGACCAGTGGCTGCCAGTGGGCTCCCTGCTGCCCCACCAAAGCTCAGCTGTAGGCAGTAGAAAGCGATGCCTGGGCGAGTGATGGGATGTGTGCCCTCCGTGTGCAAGGGAGACCCTGTGGTACAACAGCACAGAGCTGCTACCTAAAAGGCCAACAGTGCGAGCCCGTGTAGAGGCTCCACAGGACAAAGACAGGGACCTGCTCCCACAGAACAGCCCCTAGTTACAATATCACAGTCAGGACTGCACAGCACCGGACGAGACAGGGACGACGTGGGCTCAGTCCCAGACACTGCACCTCGCGTGTGGTCAGCACCAACGTCAGAGATTTGTGTGCTACCGGTGTTAGGACTGCTGCTGCTGCTGTGGACCGTAGAGTCGGAACCAATCCACAGCTGACCCTCTAGGGGGTTTGCAGAGGTGGTTAACTGCCCATCCTTCTCCCGCAGAGCTGCTGGTGGCCTTGAACTGCGTGCTTTCAGGACTGCAGCGCATATTCCTGCCACTAGACCACCAGAGCGCCTGAGAGTTAGGATTCAGAATCAATAAGGAAGGGGAGGCATAAATTACATCCGAGCCAGACAGCAGATGACATACATTGAAATAGTACTCGGAGCCCCTGGTGATGTGAGAGGAAGTGGAGACAGGGACCAGAGGAGATCTGTCCACTCAAGTCTGAACTCTCTAGTCTCACTGGCTCAAGCTCAACCCCAGGGTCGGCTCAGAGACTCACTTCACAAGGGAGGGGGGCTTTTTCTCATTTCCTTTCAAGGAGGCAGGTCCATCCCTTCGGGATGTACCTTCTAATCTACCATTACTATTTACCCTCATTTCCGCCTCCCGTCTCTCTTCTCATGCCTGCGTTCTGATGAAAGGCCTCCTCCTCTCCTTTAACGCTCCAGACACTGTAGTGTGCTCCCCCAAGAAGCCCTACAATTACTGTACTCTGTGCTACTCGGTACTTGAATACCCTTCTCTCTCTCTCCTGCCAGGTGCAATTCTCTTACAGGTGCGAGAGGGGCAAACTAGGGTACTGACTGCAAGCTGACGGCAGGATGGTGAGGTGTCAGCAGAGTTCCAGACAACAGAGAGGAAAGGCCTGGTGATTTACTTCTGGAAACGAACCCAGTCCAACCCACAAGCGACCACAGAATGTAGAGAACTGAGCTATGTTTATGGGAACAGCCCTACAGCAGCTCAAAGCACCAAAGCACCACACGGTCATGGAGAGTCGACCCCCACCCTCAGCCACCTTGTGGGGGCAGGCCACGGGGGTCCTGTACTATGACCCTGGAGGGCAGGTTACCAGGGCTTGCTTCTGTGCCACAGTTGAGTCAAACTGTCACTCTTTCTAAGCAGTTGAGCCTTAACCACTCTGCAACTAGGGCTCCTCAATACCACCTCCTTCACCCCAAAGAGAGCACACGACACCTTAATCTCCAGAGGCTGTGAACAAGTCACCTTCATGGAAAAAAAAAATTAAAAAATCCTCCTTCGATTTAAGAACCTGTTTTGTCTCATTCCCCCACTAACATGCCAACCCCTCAACTGTGGAGCTGGAACCCACTCAGTGGGCCCCCCAGCAAGTTTCCAGAGGCTGCAAACTGTCCATCTCTCCCCTTTGGAGCCCTTGCTGTTGTGTGTGGTTGAGCTGATGACCCTCTGGTGGGTTTTCAGAGGCGGTTAATCGCATGGGAGGAGGCTGACCATCTTTCTCTCATGGAGCAGCTGATGGCCTCGAACTGCATGTTGTCAAGATTGCAGAGCAGCTTCTTGCTATTAGACCAGCAGAGCTCCTAAGTAACATTAATCACACCGCACACTAGCCCAGGCCTCACTGGCAGTAACTCCGGCTCACATAAAGCTGGCTCGGGGATCTTGAGATAGGAGAGGATCCTGGGGCGAAGACGAGGGGCTTCCTGCCCTGGCATCCCCTGGACTCACTGTGACCCTGGGCCTCAGGACAGCTAGGCTCCCAGGACTTCTGATGGCAAAGCTTTCAGAATGAGATCTCTAAGCTTTTCTTCTGAGATGCACGGACATTAGAATTAACAGCTGCAATCCCTAACCACCAAGGAATGAATAGCACCACTGATCACCCCAGGACCCCAAGCAGTCACAGGTCTTTATCCCAGGCTGGGAAGTCAGGAGTCCAAGGAGGAGGCAGACACACAAAGGTGCTCTGCTGCCGGTTCTGAAAATGCAGAGGAGCTGCAGGCCAAGGCATGTGAGACCCTTCTCCCCGAACCTCCAGGAGGGCGCGGCTCACACTCCATTTCATCCCCAGGAGGCCTGAGTTTCACACAGGACTCTCATCCTCTGGTCTGTGAAGTCACGTATGGGGTCATGTGTTAGTGCGTCTGCAGGATACCTTCCAGGGTCCAGTTGCGTGTCACTCACAGCAGAGCATCTCCACAAGTGGAAAGTGAACCATCACTGCCCTCTGTTCAGCCCACGGGCAGAACTTGGCATGAACAGGGCCAAGAGAGGGACACTGGGGGAGGGCCAAGGGAGGGTTTATGATAGATGGTTTTAAACTTGGAATCTGGTTTTTTCCAACTACAGTTAAACAAGTTTACCACCACCACCAGGGTGGTTCCATTCACCTGAGAACCACCAAGCACAGGCAACAAAAAAGGCAGCCTTTGCCTAAAGATAAAGCTCAGAAAGCAGGCATAGTTAAGATGAATGGAAACAGAAAAACCAGGGAGAAAGAGGAGGAGTGCTGGAACATTGTGGATCACAACGTCGAATGGGTTAGAACTGTTAAATGGAAACGCAATTGTTTTGTAAACTCTAACCAAAATCACAATAAAATAGGTCAGAAAACCTTTTAGTTGTCCTCTGATGGTAGTGCATGTCTGTGCTTCCACCATCACTGTGCTGGGTATCCTGGGCACCAGGGCAGCAGGTGACTCGAGTTCCCGTGAGGAGGGATGGGAGACGAGAGCCTGTCTGGTGCCCACTCAGCTGAGCTCACTGTGCCTCACAGTGGGAAACTGGGACAGGATCAGAATCAGCATATGTCCCTGGGCCTTGGGCTCGGAAGTGGAGCCCCGAGGAGCACCCAGTGGGCCGGGTGCATAGCCCAGATTTGTGCTCCACAGTGCCTGGCAGAGGTAGCTGGGGCCTGGGCTCCCCACTCACAGGACAGCAGGCACTCAAACTCTCCCCTACTCTAGGAACTCCACCAATCCTGGGTAGCTGAAGAAGGTATGGACACAGGTCAGTCCGCGAGGAAGCAAGGCAGATGTGGTGGCAGGGGGACTTACTGAGAAGGGCCACCAGGTGAAAGGCCTATCTCCCATGATGTCTCCTTGTGGACATACCGTGCAGGACAACTCCTGCCCCAGGTACCAGGGAAGAGGTGGGGAAAGGGTGAAAAACTCTGGTAAAAGTGTGGTTAACTCATGGGAAACAGTTCCAGAACCCAGGGCAAAACACAAACCACAGGAAAGCCCTGAGCTCCTCCCAGGAAATCTGAGCCCACAAAGGTCTCCAGCTCAGGAGGCAGGCAGGGCAGGAAGGAGGGAGCAGAGAAGGGAGGAGCCAGTGCAAAGGCCCTGGGGCAGGCTCTGGGGCTGGCTACCTAGGTGGAGCTGGGGCGGAGCAGCTGTCTGTCTTTCCCACCAGGAACCTGGACTAGGTTTCCTTTTAAGAGCAATTAAAATCTGCCTGCAAAGCTCATTCCATTAGTGACAGATGAGCTTTCTACTGCACTAAGGGGCTCAGAGGAGGCCCCTGAAGTGAATTTCGCAAAGGTAGTGGTGGTTCTCGGTACCTGAGTCCACTATGACTCACACGACCCTGTGAGCCACAGATGGGAACCCTGCCCTGTCCTGTGCCATCCTCTCCGTCTCTAACGCTCCAGCCCACTGCCACTTCCAAGCTTCCCTTCCACCCAGGAACACGTTCTCGCTGTCCCCAAGGGCCTCTTCCCGCCGGTCTTTCCTGGGTACCTTTGAAAGATGCCTCTTCATTATTGTCTGAGGTGACTTCGTCATGGTCAATCCAGCTTGTTGAGAGTCTCTCTCTGACCCTCCACCTTTTCCAGCATGATGTCTTTTTCCAAAGGCTGGTCCCTCCTGATAATAAGCCCAAAGGAACACTGCATGACTTAAAATCAGGAAAGCTGTGCATCAGGATTGTATCCTTTCTCTGTACCTAAGCAATCT